GAAGAGCGGAAAGGAAGAGACTCGATGTCTAAAAGCTTTGGGATGCTACACGGAGAAGCAGGAGGGATGGTGCTCACGTGCACGCTTGCACCTTGCTGCTTCTGGATAGATCCCAACCACTTGCCCAGCACGGTCACCAAGCTGCCCCTGGTCATCCCCGGCCAGCTCTGGCCTCCATCTCTTCCAGGAGAGGACCCTGAAAGGGTTTCCATGGGAGCCGACATTCCAGCAGAGCTGAGTCATGTAAGAGGAGAGCTTCTGCAGGAGGTGGCGCTTGGAGAAAGTTTGAAAAGTTTGCTCCCCCCTCCCTTTCCATCTCTGCCTATGTGGCAGACAATGCCTTTGTTTTAACCATTTTGCAGCCAGGCGGGTACGTCCAAGTCACCCTGTGCCTCCCCAGCCTGGACTAACAGGCGGCTGCGGTATTTTTCCCTTTGTTCCTCTGGGTTCCTTAATTATTTGAGCTGGGTTTCACAGCTCACGTGCCATCTACACGTGCGCTTTAATGCGCAGTAGCCTATTTTACTGTGCATCCGTGTAAAAAAAGTGCTGTTATGCTAATGGGGTGTGGGTGCTAGCCGCGTTGGTCTGAGGACATGGGCAGACACGGTTCTTGGGGTGAAGCTGGTATCAGGCATTAAGAGCATTAGGTGCCACTTAAAAACCACGCGCATGCATTACTGTGCGTTAAGGCAGCCTAATGCGCATTTGTTTAGTATTTCACATTGGAGATACCCTGGTTGTAGCCATACTGGTTTAGAGGAAAAGGCAATCAGAGCTCTTGGTAGAGGTGTGATCCCTTTTATTAGACCAACAAGATTTTTGCAAAAAAAAAAAAAAAAAAGCATTGCCCTTAAGCCTGCAATTAAAGACATTTTTTTTGCAAAAATCTTGTTGGCCTAATAAAAGGGATCACACCTCTACCAAGAGACCCGATTGACATTGGGGTGTGTACATGATACGGGGGTTTAATCAGCTCTAAATTGAAGTGGTGTTTTTTAAAACCCACCGCTTCAATTTAGGCCCCCCATTTCATCTACACACGCCCAGAGGTACTAAATATATTGTGCATTAGGAAAAGCACCTTAATGCCCATGTAGATCGGCCCACAGGGTAAGACTCCCCCTCACCCCAGATTCAAATTTGCTTGAAGATCTTTGCACTTCTGTTTGGGTAAGACTTTCCCCCCCACCCAAGCTGCGTTATCTGAAGTTTTTCAAACCCGGCTAGACAAAGCCGTGGCTGGGATGATGTAGTTGGGGCTGGTCCAGGGGTTGGACTAGATATGACCTCCTGAGGTCCCCTCCCACCCTCATTTTCTGTAATCCTTCCAGCGCTTTGCTAGCAGGGCAAAACTGAGATGTTTTGCACCCAGGACAAAAAATAGAAAGGGTATTTGGGATGCCTGAAAGGCCGAACGGGCAGCTGCTGCCCTTTAAAGGAAACAACTGGTTTGTTCCACTGGACAGACCTTAATAATGTGAGAATCTCGAGTTGAATGTCTCCAACAAGTCTCTTTTTTAATTTTCTTTTTTTCTCCTCTGAAAGCCCTGCCCCTCTCCTAGGGTTTGTTAGCTGGAGGTAAGAGAAACAGAGCAAGGGAAAGGACCTGACTCAGGTTCAAAGCCTGTTTGGAGGAGACAGAAAGAATAAAAGCAGCTTTCTTCGCAGGGAAAACAGGAGGGGATGTGCAGAGGAGATCTGCACAACGCCTGTTCTCAGGAAACAGGAGAGAGGAAGGACTCAAATGACAGCGCATTTATTACTCTCACCCCTTAATGAATCGCTCCTGATTTAGAGCTGGGTCTGATCCACCCAGCAGCAAGCGAGACCTGCCTGGGAAGGAGCACAACCCACCTCCCTCCATAAACACGCAGAGATGTATTTTTAGCCCCTGGCAAACAAAAGGAAGGAAATCCAAAAAGATAACAACCGGTTTGCCCTGGGAAGATTGAAAACTCCCATTTCTGATCGCGAATTTGGAACGGCAAAATAAGGATTTCGGCCGAGACGCAAGGCTCGGAGAAGAGGAAGCGGAGAGGATTCAAGTAGGTCATTTTTGTTAGCGCGACAGCATCGCTTTGCCCACGGTCCCCGTCCCTCCCCCGGACGGGCAGAACTTTCTGCGCGGCGAGCGGCTCCGATCCCGGGTTGGATGCTTTGCAAAAGTTGACCGGATTTAGTAGTGGCCAAGTGATGAGAAATAAATGACAGCAGAGGAAAGAAGAGACACGGTTGCACGGCATACCTCACAGACGGGGCAGCGGAGAGGAGAAATCTTCAGGCTCTCTGAAGGGCTGAAGGAATCTGAAGGTTTTAGAAGCAGGCAACAGGAAACCAGTCTATGCGCTGGGCTGGGTTTCTGTCTGTCTGTCTCCTCCTCTTTTTTTCCCCTCTTTCTTGCTCTGCCTCCATCTCTCTGGTGGGCTGTCCTACCCCCCCACCCCTTCCCTTCCTCCCCAAATTTATTCTGAGTTTCAATCCAAATGATAGACCAGAGTAATCAAGTGGCACTGGAAGGGAACGGGCCTGCGGGAAGATTCCCAGGGACAAAACAGCTGCAGGTGGCAGCCCGTATCCTGTCATTCAACAGAAAGATCCCCACCGGGATGGCCTGCATTGCTGCAATGAATTTGCCCGTTCTCTGGGGGTTTTCCAGAAGCATGAAGTCTCTGGGGCATCTGAGGCTGGGTTTGTGCAGCACGTTATTGCAACGCCAATAGCGTTTCTGCTGCACACGGTGCAATGAGATGGTTTATTCCCTCCTGCGGGAGTCCTTATGGAGGATGACATGGGGCTGCTGAGCGCAGAACAAACCGCACAGGTCCGTCTCCCATTAATTGCCAGGGGGGTTAAACTCTGTGGTATCTTTAGAGCCCGCTCGGTGTTTTCACCCTTTGGCCGAAGTAATGCACCAGCAAGAATGAGCTGGCCGAGGGGGCCCCACCGTCCAGGATCCCCGCGGATCCCTTGGAGTATTCAGCATAAGGATGAATGTCTCCCCCCGTGGGTACGAGAGCGCTTGCATTTCCCCAGGCTTGCTGAGCTTTTCCATGTTCAATCCTCCTCCACGGCTCAGCAGCACTATGGCAAATAAATAGGACAGTGCAGTGGTCAGCCCCGCCACAATGCCACATCGTACGGGAGAGAGACCGGCGAAGGGAATGGTAGTAGCCCAGGCACTGATGTTAGGGTGATGTAGCTCAGCAGCACTGAATTAATTCCTAAATATGCTAGAGCCTCATAACAGCGCCTGCCTGGCCACGTCTACACGAGATGCTTACTGCGCAGTAGCAATGAGCCGTAGCGTCGCAAGGCGCAAACCGTGATGTGATGCTACTGCATAGTAGAGACGAGCTACTGCACAATCAGCCTCCCCAGGCAGCCATGCGGGGATGCTACCGTGCAGTAACGCCGGTTGCTGCATAGTCATGTAGTACGTGGGTATGCAAGTATACTAAATGACGGCTGCGCAGTCAGCGTCTCGTGCAGACGCGGCCCCTGAGTCGAAGAGCAGAAGTCCAGGCTCATCTGAATCTCCTGTATAGCAACCCACAGTGCTGCAGGCTGTCTCTGTCTGTAATACCATCTCTCTGTCCTGGCCGTGCTTTACTTAGAGAAAGCATAGATCTCAGGGAAGGATGAAATGACCCTGCAAGGGGCCATTTGAGTGAAACTGGATCACGTCATCCACTCTGGTTGCCAGGGTTGGACTCGCTATGGCTGGTTTACCAAATGAAAGGGTCCTAAAAGCTGTATACTGGACTGCCCGTGCCGGGGACCCAAGCTGGATAACACAATACAGGTCTCCCTCGCTTGATGTGCGTTCTGTATGTGCAAATGAGCTCTTATGCGATGACCCTTTTTATACCAAAAACTCATTATATGCAAGGTAAATTCACTCTTATGCAGTCGGTATGGCGGAAGCCCGCAGTCAGCTGCTTTGTGCGGTGCAGTGTGGGAGCGAAGCACACCAAAATATAGTCTCCCGTGTGGAGCTGTGCTCCTCGCTCCTTGTCTGCAACACCTGTTTCTGTAGCTGCCATCCCCATTATGGCTTCTATGCATCCTGCTAGCTTATCTCCTACCCCTCTCTGCTGTTGGTGAGCACCAAAATTGTCTTGCAAAAGTGCTGGAAATGGGTCTGGGGGTCAGTACAGTCGAGGTCTTCAAATGTATCCCTATTTGTGACATTGTAAAGTGGGTTCCCTTCATGCAAATTTGAGTTATGCACTGTTTTCCAGGAACGCGTGTACAGCATAAAGCGAGGAAAACCCGTACAGTGCTATACATCTTTGTGGCCCAGAGCAGTGCCGGTGCATCACTTATCCCCCGCCGTCATTAGGGATGGAGTTGCTGGGCAGAAAAAGGCATCTTTTAGGGGATTTCTCTTGGGTTCCTGGCCTTAAAAGACTTCATGCTAAACAACGGCACAAGCAGAAGGCAGCAAGGTTCACCTCTGGGTTTTCCTTGATGTGGTGGAGAGCTCGGAGGAGCTTAGGTGAATCCAGGTGCCGATAGATGCCAAATGGAGTTCGCCAGCGCGGCCCGGCATCCGACTCCCGTTGAACCCCACTCCGTACCCGGCTCTTTGTTTAGGTGCCTTTAATAAAGCCAGTCATTAGTGCTCCTGTGCAGATGTTGGCACCAACCCCTACCTACTAGCAGAGGACCAAGCCCCAGCCCCTTGGTGAGATTTGGGAGGACAGCAATGCTTGGATGTCGGCTCTGATGGAGGCCAGCCAGTCCAGCTCACCCAGCCACCCCTTGGGGACTTTTTAAATGCTTTGTTTTTCACAAGATCCAGGGGGAGGGTGGCCTCAAGTGCCACCAGGAGTCTGCGCCTTGGCTCTGTGAGTCCTTACAAACTTCAGGCCTCATGGTAGAGGTGATATCTTTTGTTAGAGCAACTAGATTTTTGCAAAAAAATATCTTTTTTTTTTTGGATACCTTCCAAACTTAACTCACTTCGGCCCTGCAGAGTTGAATGCTTTCTGCAGTGGATTGGTCGTGCCTTTTCACCAGCTGAGCGTTGAGATCATGCAGCTGTTGGTACTTGCCTTGTTCAGATAAAAAACATCTGGAAAACTTCTTTACAAAGGGGGGGAGACGGGGGTAAGAAAGGAACCACCTCTCTCAGTACTGACAACGTGGCAAATGCCTGATGTGCTCTGCTCTGGCCTACAGCTGAAACCTCCTCCAAAGAGAACCAAATGACATAGCCAGGGGGATAATTATAACCGAGATACGTGGCGGCTAAACCCCGATCCTGTGCAGAAGCAAAAAGCAACTAGCCCTGATTGTGCAATTACATCGGCCAACGGGGCAGGAGCTCCCGGCCCCTTCTTGTGGGGAGTGAGGGTCTTAATACATGCAGCCCTTTCCGTCTGCCTGGGATTCACCGAACCAGCCTCGTTTCTTTGCATGAATTTCAGGGCAAGAGTCTCGTTCCGGGAGATCTGATGCTTAACCAGCACATGGCTAGCCCTGGTTTTATTTTCCAGGGGAGGGGAGGGAGGACGGGAAGCAAGAGGCTGGTGGAACAGATCCCCTTGGCTTTACGAAGAGCTGGGGACAGCTCAGAGCTCACGGAGATTTACGGGAATTTCTGGTCCGCCCTACCAGGCTTATCGGGGTCGCTCAAGGCTGCTCTTAGGTGTCCAGCTCATGGGAGAAAGGGGTTGCATCCGATGCAAAGGTGACGTATAGCTCAAAGAGCAGGAGGGAAGAAATGGATGTTAACAGCCCCAGGAAGGGCTCAGGCGCACACAGCCCCACCGGTGGGTGCATCACGTAGTGGGACACCCCCTACTCAGTCAGGCTTGCGCCCTGACAATGTGCTGTGACCAGAAGCACCTCTTATTACTCCACTCCTGAATCCCAGCATTGCTGCTGCAATGCTTCTCCATCCCGACTTCCTTTGACCTTTGGTCTTGCAGCCCCCTGCTTCTCCGGGCTGGAGGGGCCGGTCCTGTGGGCAGATGCATGGTAGGCACGCTGGGGACGCAGGTGACAGGCTCAGATGAGCTCCTCTCCACTCCTGACCTCACTTAGCACTTGAACTTGAGCCTTGGGGCATGATAACCCACATCAGTCCCAAGCCCCCGGCACTATGGCAAAACATCGGGACTCTGTCTTCAAGCTGAGGGTGACGATAGTGTGTGGCAACATCCCTTAGTGCTGCCTTCCCAGCCCTCAGCATCCCCATCCTACACAGATCCCAACCTGGGAGACAGCCAGATTTTGACTCTTTGAAGGCTTATGCTCTCCTGAAATCCCCGCTTTGGGTCCCGGCCCTTTCACTTATCCTCTGAGTCCTCCAGAAAGGCATGCAAGCCTATTCGTCATGTAGGAAGCAGGCGGTGGTGTTGCTACAGGTTTTGCATTGTAACAAGATGATGCTCATCGCTCCCCTGCACCCCGAGGTTTCCAGGGGCAGATTCGCAGCACGGACAAACTAGCTCAGACTCACCGAAATCAATGAAGTCACGCTGATTCATCTGCTCCCTACCTTAACCCGCAAGTGCTGCTCCTTCCAGCACATCTCTGCTGCAAGAAAAGGCCTGTTGGTCGCTCAGCTGGGCTAGCCCAAGGCCATTCACTCAGGATCACACAGCAGTGAGGGCAAACCAGCTGGGGTTTTACTTCAGGTTGGCTGTTTGGGTCCAAACTGAGAAAGGAGATTGCGTCTATAGCTCTTATAGGCCATGTTAGCCCACTTGGATTCAGACCATGCCATTACAGACATGTCTCTAGAGCAGTGATCCTCTCATCCTTTTGGGGCTCAAGGCACCCCTCACTGGACCCGAGTCCCCCTCCATCACCCCTGTGAATTGAGTATCCCCCCATTTCCCAACTGATTTATATATTATAGTGCTAGCCTCCCAGATGAGCCAGGCAATGGGGGTGGGGGACTGGCCAGGCAGGCATACGCTCATCTCCTCACCACGCTTGATACCCTCCAAAGGACCCAGTGGCAACCCCGAATGCTGTGGCACCCTGGTTGAGAATCACTGCCCTAAAGAGAGGGTGGCCGGTAAGAGGTGTTTGCCTCCAGGGGAAATGCAATTAGAGATTAGGAGCACATCTCCACGAGCGGGAATGTGTGTTTTCCTGGGGGCAAACAGCAGCGGCACAATGATGTCCCCGGGGAATGCCCATGCCATGCACGCTCTGGCACGTGGCATGTTGCCCCGGGTTGGGTGAGTGAGACTGGCCCCAGCGGCCTTACCTGGGGTCCTGGGGGCCTCCAGGAGCTGCAGCTGGGGCGATCCTGCAGCAAGGAGCCCGCCTGGCAACTGGAGTGTGGGTCCGGCCAGCCAGGTCCAGTTTTGGGCAGCACGCGCTGCTGCTATGTGCACCCCCTTGCTTTGTAGTAGCGTGGGTTTTTTTGAACCTAGGATC